GTTAGACACAAAGTTGGATTTCATGGGTCCTACGATAACTGTGTCATCTACGTATTTCAATAGGCCTATCTTAACATCTTCATTTTTGGATCTGCAATCATCAGATATTAGCAGATTTAACTGGCCTCGTCCTTCATCTGCAATATCGATCTTATATCAGTATCGATTTGTCCTAGCTTCACACGAGAATCTTCATTTAATACAGTCACGTAAAGTTGATTGATTGGGGACTGATATAAGTAAACTTGATGTGTGTATTTCTATTCTTATAACAATATAGGCATATAGACCCTGGCAATCTGAAGACAACTTCATGACTGCCGGGCACCGTGCCGGGCAACAGTAAGTATTGTAAAGCCTACTCGGCCGGAAACTATTCTGATCTCAGAGAGTTTTTTTTCCTGATTTGTCACAGTGTACATGAGATCTGTTTATATCTATCCATCCATCTGGCTATTTATCTATTTATTCATCCATCTATCTGTTAACATAAAAGTAAAAACAATCGATAATTTTTCTGGTGTTTGCTGGAAGGTGTGCACTGCGAAACCCTTGACTATGGCCTGTTTTTTTGGTTTTGCAGCTCTTTTTTTGTTGTTTTTTTTATGTCTCCTTTCCAAATTTTTCTATTTTATTTAAAATAAATCAATATTGTATTTATATATGAGAGTTTTATATGTATTTCTGATGTCTTGATGTTTTATGTCTTGGGCGTTTTCTCTTTGTTTGGACCTTGAGTCTGTGGAACCTGCCCTTTTGCTTCCTTTTTTTTCTGTTTGTAAGTTGCAATAAAATTTAATAAAGAATTTATAACATTTATACCGTGTTATATTTCCAGAGGACTCATAGCGCCAAGTAGAGGTGTTGTAAACAATGTAAAAAAGGAAATGAAAGTAATTCTGGTTTTGGTTCTAATTTTAACATAAAATTTTATTGTAATAATAATCTAAGCCTTTTCCTTGAAACTAAACATGGAATATATTAATACTTGCACCAGTTTGCACTAGAATATCTGTTAAAAAATTACTAATTTTTGTAATGCGAGTATATATTACCGTTGTTGCATTTACTTACCATCACCAACGTTGCATTAATGAAAGTGTGTCACAATGGCAGCTTTATATAGTTACTGCAAACGTTACTCTAATTGGTATCAGGGGTTGCGTCAGCGAGGGACAAGAGGCCAGGGCCCCACGTCGGGGAGTGCTGCCACCCTTCGTCGGGGAGAAAAACCCTAATTCTTCGGGGAGAGAAAACAAATTTATACACCAACCAGTTGGTCAAAATCCAGTTTGCCGAATCTCTGTTGCCGAGTTTATCCACTTTGTTGAAACCCAGTTTGCCAAATCCAGTTCACTGAAAAAATGGAATTCAGTTTCGACCATCTGGCCTAGAACCCTTTAATTGACATGATGTATCCATTATAGTGATTCGTAACTGTTAATCCGGGCACTGACTGCGCACGACGGTCGTCGGCCAACGCGATTTCATGGAGAACGCAACGCCTCGACGCGCCCTCAACGGATCGCTTTTAATGACGATAAGTTCCGACTGCCACCGACAATCTGCAGACGGCGTCGCGTCGTGTAGTGCTCTCAGATAGCGAAAGTTGCATTCGACGTCGACCGTTGTACAACGCAGTACGTCATCCAGAGACAGTTTATTACCATTGTTAGTTAGGTCATCACTAATTTGACTAATTAGAATCTTAAAGAGTGTATTTTGACGAAAAGTGGTAGTGGTTTCCGAATATGAGAACTCGGGTAAATTAAGGGTCGATCCGAGTGCACAGTCTATTGCACATTCAAATTAAGTTGTTCTTCAATAGTTTTACCAACTATTTAACTTCTACAGTGTACTTTGAAGATTTTTCATTAGTTGGTGTGACCGATTCCAAAAATAAATAAATAAATAAATAAAAGCTTGTGGGACTGACCATATGAAGGTCCATTTCAGTGTATGTAAGGGTTTTTGGTCAATTACCTACCCAAATTATGTCACGGGTGATTGATTGATCCTACTTGTAGATTCGTTGTGTTAATATGTATCATATTGTGAAGTACACTGTTAGAGGTGAGATTATTTATCAGTGATTATCTACATGTATAATTAGTAGTGTTGTAAATGCCTTCTGACCAGTTTTTATCTCATAAAACCATCCGAGTTGACAATAAAATTGCCATTTTATTGAACACTATGAATCATAACATATTTTACAATATTTTTATGGAAATTTATATGGCAATTCTATACAGATCTAATGTACTAACACTAAACGACAATAAACCTGAAGAAAAGAAAATTAAATTTGTCAAGATGAGGTTTTATATTGTAATCTCTAAAATGAATTCTATAAAAATGTGTTCAAATATTAGTATACCATAAATTGCCGTTTTAATGATATTGATAGCTATAGCTAACTATAGTATTGTATTGTAAAAATATATTGTATAAAAAAGCTTAGAACTAAATAAAACGTGACATTACTGAGTGATTTGAGCTTAATAATTTAGATGTGTTAGTTTGTTGAATAACTTTGACTATTATTATTTAAAGCTTATTTATCCATATGATGCGTTCCATACCCTGTCGCCTCACACCCGCCTGCTCAAGTTAAGTAAGCAGGCTATGTGAATATTTAAACTTGAGATTTTAAATAGAGATATTTTAGTTTTAAACAGAGATGAAATATCCTAGTATTAAATAAAGATATCTCTATTAATAGAGACATCTCAGTTAAAACTAATATATCTCTATTTAAAACTAAGATATCTATTTACGATTAAATGTCAATTCGGCTCGCCATAGATTTGCCAAAAAAAATTACATTGCTCATGAAGACGGAAATCGATTTTCACACGTCAATGCATATAGCATGTATAGTCGTTCATCCATGTTGCTCGTTATTATTGTCACAGAATATGCGTATTTAAATAATAATAACTAACACTATAGACGCAGTACTACAAATACCTGTTTATACAAGGTATGTAAAAGGTGAGACGTTAATAAACTGTTGTACCTTGTACCATGTACAAGTATGTAGGGTTATTTTATGTGTTAACATCACCTATACAAGGAATGAACTAAACTGAAAGAATTCAAACAAAATATATCAGGTAGTTATGGCAGGCCTACTACAAGATGGATGGTCGAGTGGTGATTCAGAGAACGGTGATATGGAGGAACAAGCAGATGATGAAAAGAACGATGATGTTGAAGAACCAATGGACAAGTTCTTTCGAGATATACTGAATAACGATATTACTAAAATTCGTGAAAAAATGAATGATCATGGATATAATGCTTTGACTATTGGGTCGTACTGGGATATGGCGCTACATTTTGCAGTTTTGAATAGCAAGATTGATGTCATTCGACTTTTTGAAAACCAAATCAGAGGCAGGGAAGAAATAAATACTGTTCATATAAAGGATGTGGATCAGTGCGGAACCGCACTACATATAGCAATGGACGGCCAAGTGTCGCTGGAGACAGTAGAGCTCCTGTTACAGTGGGGCGCGGACGTAAACGCCAGAGATATTCGAGGGGGGTCGGTTCTTCACGAACTTATAGATATGTCCTGGGACGATTTTGAGAATGACTTTAATTTAGAGATGGCGATCTCGTCCAACGGCGAGAAAGGGCATAGCTATTTGTCTAAGTTGGACCTTTTGCACGAATATAAAGCCAACATGAATATAATTCATAGTTCTACGAGTTTAACCCCTTTACATAAATGGTGTCAACAATTTGTTTTTTGTACAAAACATTGTAGGGCTGTCAATGAAATTCCCAGATATTGCACGCTGTTTTTAGAGAGATTATTACAGTACGAATGCAATCCGACGAGTGTTGATGAACGAGGGGAAAGTCCTTTGTTTTATTTTTCACAAAGGCATTACACAGAGAAAGACATCGGCTACATCAACGATTACTCGCGCCTCTGTAAGATTCTTATCCAAAGGACACACTTAAAACAAAGAAATAACAACGATCACACAATTCTACATGCAGCAGCAGAATTTTCTAACGTTGCCATGGTAAAGGAACTGTTAACACATACGGTTGATGTTAATGCTAAAGACAAATTTGGATTAACAGCTGCGCACCTTATCACACATAACATTACAGCAGACGAAAAATCATTTGTCACCGCAATTTTGAAAATGTTGACAGAAAATGGTGCTGATCTAAATATCAAAGACAACCACGGATCAACGCCTCTTCATCATGCAGTACATATGAAAAACATCACAGCCATAAAGTTTTTGATGAACAACGGGGCAGATATCTCTGTTAAAGACAAGAATGGCATGGACGCCCAAGCACTAGCCACAGTCGATGGAAGTGATGAAGTTCAGACACGTTTAGGTGTAATCTACAAGAGATCTGCTTTACCCATTATTCCAGGAACAACTGATGTAAGATTTGGTTGGTTTTACCCTCTTTGCTGTCATATCACTTATTCAGGAGAATCCAATGGAATTGAAAACCCAAACGTTGTAAAAGAATCTGAAATTGAACGGTTTCTTGTAAAATACCCACCATGTTATCACAATCGCAGGTTCATTATACAAAATTCTATAACCTGCTTCGAAGAGAACGAAAAACAATGCGAACTTAGTGAAAAGGACTTTGTCATCATAAAAGCTGAAATAAGATTAGCGATGGATCGAATAGTAAAGCTCATGGCAGACCAAAGCGAAGTGCTTCAGTGTGACGTAGTTATGGGCGGGAGTAACGCCGAGGGGACAAAAGTGGGAGATCCGGACGAATTTGATTTTGTATTCATTTTAAAGTACATCAGTTTACACGTTATTCCAATAGAGGAAGATGATTTTAAAGGATTTGTCAAAATAAAAGCAAAAGAACCAGTAGCATTTTCTTCATTATCGGAGATAATCTTCGATTCCGATGGTTTCATAAAGCGATCGGTAATTAGCAACGAATTTCATAAACTTTTTGAAAAATGTTTGCGCAGTAGGTGTGTTTGGGAAAGCACTGGGTTTTGCTCATATGCTGGTACCACGAACAGTGAGGGCGAATGCTGGGATATTGGTCAACTTGACCTTATTTGGTATGGAGCTTTCAGAAAGAGACAAAAAATCTCAATTGATATTGTTCCAGTTATTAAAATTCCAGGTTGGCAGACAAATCATTTGAGAAGCACTGCTAACATTCTGCAGAGTGAAACCCTCCATAGCATAGGATGTTACTTGGTAATGAAAGATTCGCGAGAAGCGATTGCTGCCATAGATCCAAGCATAGGGGAAACCGAATTTGTGAAGACCGAAGATATTCTATACAGAATCTCATTTTCACAAATAGAGCATGCAGTAATATTCAATTTACCCGAGGAAATTAAAAATGGAGTCAAACTTGAAAACAATATGCGCACAGGCCCCAGAAATAGCTTGTGAATTAGGCCAAATACACACAGATAAAGAGACTTCGTCGAAGTCGCTTCATTCTGTTACCAGTATATTCGACCAGATCACTAGTTACACCATAAAAACTGCATTATTTTACATTCTTGAAGAAGAAAATTTCAAACTCAGTTTGACGATGCAAGAGCTTCAACCAGATCATTGGAATGACATTGTAACGCCATATCGCAACACTGGAACTAAAACGAACGATCTTAAGCGTGCGTTGTCATGGAGCATTAAGATATATAAAAAGTTGCTTTCGTTTGCTGACAATGAAAGTCATGTCCCAGATTACTTTTTGCCATTGGAGCTGACTGCGTGCGTTGGTAACGATATGGTAAAGCACTCGTCAAACCTATTGGCAAAGTTTTGTGCAATTATTTTGAGATATTTAGAAAATTTTGAAATACCAAACGAATTTCTGGTACAAAATGTCGAATCGATGTTCTGATTCATTGTGTACTGACAGGTACATACAAAAATCATACGTTTAAGTCATTTACATGTTAACCAATTTAAGCAGGGGTGCCACCAATTGCCGCTAGATCCAAAATCTAGAAAGGTAGCAACCTTCGGTACGCTTTTGGCCAATATGAGACTGAACGACACATATTTGGGACCAAATCATAAACAAGACCTGTTTATGAGAATATGTACAGGATTTTTGGTGAAATTTAAATGCCTTAATCAGAGAGATGATATCCTTCTTTGAGGAAGGACCATGAAAGAACATAATGAAAGCCTAGAAAAGGTATTTCAGAGAGCATTTAATGTATACAAATGTCAATTCGGAAATCCAGAGAACCTGGCTTCTATGGGTACGGTACAAATTTACCAAACAACGGACTCAAACAGAGTTTGAAGTGCAAGCAGACAAGGGGAGCAAACCCTCAGAATCAAGGAGGCGGTGCCGCAAATTCCTCCTCTATTCTTTCTTAACCAATTGCAAATGTTATTCATATCAATCGGTGAGTTGACATGCCAATTACAATAAGGGAAATACGCTGCAGTTCTACTAAATCACAATAAGGCATTGTAATGTAATGGAGTTGTTTGTAGGTCTTATAATTAGATTGGAGCTTTTGCTTAGGCCTATACAATACACAATACTAACAGCATCCTAAGAGAACTGACTACCCAGGACAAGAAACTCAAATGGGACCCGAACGAGGAAAAGGCGTTCGAAACAATAAAAGACATATAGCAAGTAATAAAACAATAGCATACGTCGACCGTGTTTGTAAGAACGGAAGCTAGCTACAATGAAGCGTTATCAACAGGACTCCTTCAGCGAACCTCAAAAGGGTTCCAATCAGATCACTTTCATTAGCCGGATGATGACTGACACTGAAAAATGTTACAGTGAAACAGAGAAATATGCTCTGGCACTGAAATGAATTGAAAAATCGGTGATGGACATGCAATATGTTGACTACGAGCTTGTCTATCAAGGAAAGGATGCAGCAGATCCCCTAGACTTCCTTTCCAGACACCCTCTACCTAAAAAAGGTAGAGAACACACTATCAAACAAATAATAGTTGACGAACATGCAGTCGTCATAGATAGTGTGTACCCCTTTTACAAAATACAAACATGCAATAATCAAAAATAGTGAAAAAAACCCAATTGGCTGATCAACAAATAAATTGCAAATAATCATAAACAAGTTAAATTGTCAATTTGTGTTCGATCTATCATGTAGACATTACTTAAATAAATACATTGACAACAGATATTTTTTAAAAGATAATTTTAAACCTTTGTAAGTTTCCAATTTCTGTTTGTATATACCGCTTTCACAAAATACAAACATGCATCAAAAATTGTGGAAAAAAAAAAACACCAATTGATTGATCAACAAATCAAGTTGCCAAAATATCATTTATATTCGATCTATTCTGTAGACTTATATTAAGTATTTTGACAATAGATATTTTTTAAAAGATAGTTTTAGACCTTTGTAAGTTTTTCGTAAGATATGTGGCATTTGGCATGTATGCGTGTATATATGTGCGTATGTGTATGTGTGCATATGTATGTATGTGCATGGATGTATACGGATATAGATATATATGATGAGTGTGAAATGTATATGTATGTGAGTGTATTCCATACAAAAAAAAAATAACAAAAAGAGAAAGAAATAAAGGAGAATGAAATTCTCATGAAAGGTAAAGGGTGGATTTAAAAAGAAAATAATATTATGTATATGTGCAGTGTATATGTATATAAATATGGTTTTTTTTTAATGAAAATGACTTGAAGAAATTCTTTAATTACGATGTTAATAATGATAATTACATCTTGGTAAAAAATATTTAGAAATTATTACAAGTGGAAGGATGTTAAAAAAAAAGAAAGATAGTCAGCCATTGTGGACTGACCCATCCTTAGTGCAATTTTTTTAAGTTTGTATATTCATTTTCTTTTAAATATGTATTAGAAGCAGAAAAAAAGTAACAAAAAGAGAAAGAAATAAAAGTGGGTTAAACTCCTACGAAAGAGAAAAAAACAAAAAAAATATGTGGTATTTGGTCCAACAAACAATTCCATATTTTGGGTCAACTTATATGTAGAAAGTGCTAACTAAAAGTCAATCTTGCAAGTGGAACATGCATTTCAATTTTGTTTCTTAGATTGTGGGAAGTATTATCATAGGTAGAGAAAATATTTAGAACACGCTGTGGTAATTCGCCACATTTATAATTCCTATGACGTTAAGTTTGTAAATATCATGGATATTGAGTATTTGTAATATCTTAAATAATGGTTCAGATGTCTGCCTAGGGTTAGAGAAAGTTATAACCCTGACAGCCTTTTTCTGAAGTTTCCAGAAGGCTTGCAGTGTACTTTTGTACAGGTGTTCCCCCAGATAAGATTCCCATATTGGAGATGGGGTAATATCAAAGTGTTATATAAATTTATTAAAATATGGTGGGGGAAAAAGATTTAACTTTCACGAGTACTCCAATCGCCCTAGCAATTTTGTTGCTGGTCAACTTTACATGCTGCTTCCAGCTTAGGTTTTCATTTAGCATGTCACCTAGAAACGTGACGTTTTGTTTAAGGCATAGTGAAATATTGTTCATTTTAATTGTTAATTCGTCAAGATTAATATGCTTTTGTGGAGGCCTAAACACAACATAATTTGTTTTGTTAGTGTTTAGGAGAAGCTTATTAGCCTTAAACCACATATTAAGTTTCCCTAATTCAGTGATAATTAAGTTAGACATCACTTTGAGGTCACTTCCACATTTGATGCTAGTTGTGTCATCAGCAAAACTAATTATATCGATTGTAGAACATGAATTGTAAATATCGTTTACGTAAATCAGAAACAAAAGCGGCCCCAGCACCGAGCCTTGTGGTACACCAGTATTTGTCTCTTTTAAAATAGATTCTGTGCCATTAATACAAACATACTATTTTAGGGATTTCAGGTAGTTTCTGAATAATGACAGTGCAATACCCCTGATACCGTAGTGAGACAGTTTGTTTAATAAAATACCATGATCTATAAACATCAAATGCTTTTGATAGATCAATAAATGTTGCAATTGCATATTGTTTTTTTCAAAAGCACTATACTTTATAAACCAAATCAATTACAGCATGTGAGGTTGAATGTTTATTTCCAATAACCCTACTGGCAATTGTTTTGTATGTTAAACCTTGATAAGTAACCATACAGTCTGGTATAGATAATCTTGTAAATATGGACTACTTTTGCAATCTTTATTTTATCTGGGACTAGGCCAGTCACAAGACATTTGGTTAAATATGTACGTTAGTGGCTCTGCAATCTTGTGGCCAATGGCATTTATCACCTTCGGTGCAATGTCATCAAATCCAGGCGCTTTATTTGAACCAAGAGATTCCATAATAATAATAATTCACAGGACAGAAAAACAGTGAGTTTCGTTGCTTGTTGGAGAGGTACCGGTATTCAGAATATTGAGTCGTCGAGAACTCTATACTGTCACGAACACCTCGGCCAGCATTAATAAAATAATCATTAATATGATTTGCAACAGCTTTACAACCCTGTACTGTTTCACTGTCAGATGTGAAATAAGATGGTACGTTTTTTTTTATACCTTTGCCTGGATTTATGACATCATTGATAACGTTCCATGTTTTTTTTTATATTACCATTTCCGTGAATAAAAATATTTTCATGATATTATCTTTTCGCAGTTTTGCAAATACGCGTCTTTTTAAAATTGTTATATACAGCCTTGTTTTTCAACGTGGGGTGTTTTATATACCTTTTGTACAATACATGTTTTCTTTTACTAGATTTTAACATTCCATGACTCATCCGTGGTTGTTTAAACTTTTTATACTTTTTGGCAGTTTTTTTTTAAATATTCATTTAGGTTTCAATTATATAAAGTTTTAAAATTGACAAGAAAGACATTATAAGCACTGTCAGGGTTTCTTATTTCATAGACGTCATTCTACTCATCAGAACGCAAATCATTGTTTAATTTCATTATGTTCTTGTCGCTGATCACAAACTGTTCGTTTGGAACATGACTATTATTTATAAAATCATTTGTTTGGTAGGCAGGCTCAATGATTTGGTATATTGGCATGTGGTCTGAGATGTCTGAAATAAGTATGCCTGATGTTACCGTATATTATCTGAAAGCAAGTTTGAAAAAAATATTGTCAATCAGCGAAGCTGATCTGTTGTGTATTCTAGTGGGTCTTGATATAGTTGGGTAAAACGAGTGAGACATCATTGTTTCAAGAAAAACATTAACATGACTATCGTGTGCATGGTTGAGGAGGTTGATGTTAAAGTCTCCCATGATGTTACATGATTTACTCTCTTTATCAATGATGGCCAAGATATTGTCTAAAAACTCATTAAAGTTCAATACCTGTATCAGGTGGTCTGTAGACAAGACCAACGACTACGTTTTTATGTTTTCTATCGATAATTTCGATAAATATACACTCGCAGAAATGTATCATTACGTCAGGTCGTTGTACAACCTCAATTGAATTAGAGACAAATATACCAACACCACCCCCTCTGCGGTTCTCCCTGTCTAACGAAAAGAAATCATAGTTAGGTAAGTATGGTCTGGGTGACATATTAGTAAGCCGTTATACCATCTCCGTTATACCATCTATAGTAAATTTATGTTTCATGTGATTGAGATAAGTAACTAATTCATCAACATGTTTGCTAATACTTCTGATATTGTAGTGTAACAGTAAAAGGCTTACGTTGTTAAGCTTTTCTTTTGAGTTGTTAAACTGGTGCACACTCATGTACGAACATGACTCAAGTGTATGTATTTTTGCTCTAAGACTCAGAGATTTCGTCGTGTTCGTCAAAACCGTCTGTGTTACACATAGATATTGGATTAAACAGTATATTGGATTAAACAGAAATACCTTAAATCAAAAAAAGAATCGGATAAATACAAGTATATAATATATAGAAGTAAGTTGACGCATTTATTAAAAATTTCAAGGAAAACACATTATAATGATAAATTTAATTTTTATAAAAACAATATTCAAAAGACTTGGAAAACAATTAACTCTGTCTTAGGACGCAACACAAAAAAACATTTTCCATCTTTTTTTCAGCACTAAGGATCAAAAATTACTGAGCCTCACCTTATAGCAAATAAATTTAATGATTATTTTATAAACATTAGATCAAATCTCACAAACATTGTTTCCCACAGCATTGTTGCTGTCTCTTATACACATCTAGATGTGTATAAGAGACAGGGAGTATGTTGGGTATACGATCAAGTGCGTATTCTATGTTTAAAAACAGAGTTAACAACCGCTACTTTAAAGTTAAGTGGGCCTGCATGTGGTAGACCTAATGATATTAAACACTTTGTTTCCTTGTGTTTCTTGGCATATTCACTGACTATTTGGTTTAGTGAGATTTTTTTGGGTTATTTTCTTTGACTGAATTTGTTATTTCGTGGATTATCAGACAGTCGGGGTGTGCGTCACTTGCTTCAAGTGCTAACTTGATTTATTCATTGGTATATGCCTTTACAATGTCTACTTCTGCACCGGGAAGGAGGCGAGCAGCTTCAGTGTTGTTCAGAAGAGAGTTTCCAGTTATAATAACTGATGGTTTCGGACAATTCTTCTGTCAGGACTCCGATTTCGTACTTGATTTCTGCTGGGCGTACGTGGGTTTTGCACTCTTTTGCTGTTTCTTTTTGCGTACGGTATGGAAGCTTGACGTGTCGACCGCTAACTGAGTTCTTTTTGTTTCATACGCTTCGTTTCTTGCTTTGAGCCACTTTATTTCTTGATCCACTTCAGTTTGCGTACAAAAAGAAACGAGGTCTCAGTGATGCCATGATTACTCTTCTCCATAAGATTAATACTCACCTGGAAAAGCCCAAGGCCTATGCTCGCTCTATTTTTTTTTTACTTCTCTTCTGCCTTTAATACTCTGCAGACTTTCTCACTAACAAATAAGCTGGTATAGGCCGTTTTTTGTTTTTAGAGCAAGTGTATAAGCCTACCTCGCTGATTTAGCACATCCGTCGAATTATTTGTTTCCCAAGCCTCAGATATCTTGTCCAATATGGAACTGATGCGACTTTTGTTTTGTGAAACTAATTTGCTGCCATGGGGAACTGATGCGACTTTTGTTTAGAGAAACTAATTTGCTGCCATGGGGAGGAGGAAGTGTTACATGCACCTTAACTATTATACCTTTTCATTCTTTAATTTTTCTATATAATTAAACATTAATCAATGAGTAGGAATAACGCTTTGAGAACCATGTGTAAAATTGAAGTCAAAGTATTCATAATATAGGCTAATGTTTGTAATATATTCTTATTGTCAAACTCATATTAAAAAATACAAATTGTATATATATTTACAGCATTACCGCAAGACGGTTTAGAGTTATTCTCTTTAAATTATCATTATTTCTTCGGAGATCTCGACTTCTTGTCAATTGCTGATCTCTGTTTTGCCATGCATCAAGGACGGGTGCTGTCTAATACTCATACGCATGCGTGTGAAAGAATTAAATGCTTTAAT